CTGCAATGCACGCACTTACTCATAACGCAGCCCCTCATGCACCTTTCGACCCACTGCATAGCTGCGAGGATGTGTCGTCTGTAGGAATACCTGTTTGGATCATATCAGATCACACCTAACCTTGAGGCTATTTACCAAGCTTCCTACGGAGGGAGGGCCACTCCCTTCCCACCTCTAATTGCTCCTCAGCTCCCACACCAGCTCTCACTTGTTGCATCTCCTCTCGCACGCTGCTCTCACCCCCGCTGCGCTACCGTCCACCCTCAGGCCCATCATTCCTCCGATTCCCTCCCACCACAAGACCTCCTGTACTTGATTGCTCTCCTGTCCCCACTGTCAACTTAAATATTCTATATATATAGTTGTGTAGGCTTGGTAGGTGTTGGGTGTTCTACAAATGACTGGATCCTACTGTAGAGGGTACAACCCACTTCTTGTAGTTAGGAGGAGCTAACTAGGTAACTAGGCATTAGGAATGTCGAGAGGCTTTAGCTAGGGAGAAGAGTTGATGAGAGAAAAGAGAGTTGGACTAGAAGAGAGAGAGGTACAAGAAGGGTTTTGTACCCTCTACAGTAAGATCCAGAAACATAGAACACCTACCAAGCCTACACAAATATATATATATATATATATATATATATATATATATATATATATATATAATATGACACTTGTACCTCTCTCTCTCTCCTAGTCAAACCCCTTTTCTCTCGCTATTTCTCTCCTACCTAGCCAAAAACCTTAGCTACTTCAACATGGTTTCAGGGCAGGAAGATCTTGCTGAGCCCCCACGTACTCTCTCCTCTCCTCTCACTTTCGCGCCGCCGTGGCGGCCTCCATGTGCTGCCGTGGCGGCCTCGATGCGCTGCCATGGCGGCCACATCTTGCTGCCATGGCAGCCTTGGGGCGTGGCGGCCTCGTCGAGCAGCCGTGACAGCCTCACCTCGCTGCCGCGGCAGCCTCGTCGTGCTGCCGTGGTGTCGTCGTGCTGTCGTGGCGGCTTCGATGCGCCAGCGCATGGACGGCTGCGGCCAGCACACTGTTTTAGGCACCAGCCAGCACACTGTTTTAGGCACCAGCCAGCACGCCCACACGCCAGCCAGCGCCCCATCCAGGGCGCCTTGCTGAAGGCATGCCCCCCCCCTGCGTCTCCCCTCATCCCAGCCACAACGGATGACTCCCTTCCCCGTCGTCGCCAGGCCGTGCTACGCCACCGGATGCCTCGGGCTTCACAGTCGCTGTCGCTGTCGTCAAAGCCGCCACCGCCGTTGCAGGTGCAGCTGGCTCTGCCGCCACCCGCCACCGCCGTCGCCGATGTCGTCGTCGTAGCTGCCGCTGACGCTGACGCCGTTGCTGCCACCCGCCGCCAACGTCACCGTCTCGCATGCCAAGGGGTAGAAGTCACAGCTGCTGCAGGAGATGGGGGTGAAAGGGCTTGGGGGTATTGTGTGTGTGGTGTGCTAGTGCCTACCAAGCCTAGGGGGTGTGTCAAGTTTTATATTCTATATATTTAGTTGTGTAGGCTTGGTAGGTGTTGGGTGTTCTACAAATGACTGGATCCTATTGTAAAGGGTACAACCCATTTCTTGTACCTCTCTCTCTCTCATAGTCAAACCCCTTTTCTCTCGCTATTTCTCTCTTACCTAGTCAAACCCTTCAACACCCACATCATCCCACTTGGTGCATCTCCTGCTCTCCTATGCATCTTCCTAGGCATCTGCGCATCGTCTCGCCATCCGAATCTATCACTTGCTCTGCTTCGCATATCTCCACCACCTCCCGCACTTTTATTACCTAGAGGATGGTTACTACGATATGTTTCTACTGCAGATTCGACCGTCTTGTCGCTAATGTGTGTTCGGAAGTCTCCTCCTCTCCTCCAAGCTATCATTCTTTCTGCGTGGACTTCAAAGTTTTGGGAGTTCTGTAGAGCAACTTCATTCCCCCGTGATGAATCTAGGCTTTCGTAGAATGTACCGGTCAGGTAATGTAGGTTATAGCTGATGTTAGTTTTTTCGTAGTGATTAGTTTTTTTCAGAGTGTTTACCAACATCAGGCCATGAGATCAACTTTGGTCCAAGCTTTCAAAGTCGCGGTGCCAGCGGCGCAGGCACAGCCAATGTGACACCGTAAGTACGCTGAAGTGGATGTCCAGCTCGACAAAATTGGTGTGCTCGCTCGCTTCGGCCAAGAGTCAACGATCCCTCGGGGTCGACGTGGGCATCTTGCCACACGAAAAAACGTGCATCGTTGGCAAGAAGTCAACCCGGTTTGCACAAGCTTGTAGCGGCGAAAAGTCTTTTGCTTTTGGCAAATCGCAAATGTCGCCCGATGTTCCCGCATCCTGGATCTTGGGCGCGCATCCAGAACCCTCGTCCATACCTTCGGCTGTGCATAAAATGTTCCCGTTCATGCCCTCTCTTGTCAAACCACCACCAATTCTCACCCAATTCCCCCACCGCCACGTAGCGTCTATATCAGCGCCAGCGCGGCGCTTCTG